AAATAAAGTATTCATTTATTTATTTAACTTTATTTTTTAAAAATAAAGGATCCATTTATCTTTATTTTTTAAGAGTAAAGGATTCATTTATCTTTATCCTTTATTATAAAGGATAGTAAAGATAAAGGGTCACCCCTAGTTGACCTTCTCTTCGGTGAGAGGAGAATTCCTGGAAAGTTTGATTGCATTCGCTCATACGGTGTGGAAATGCATAAAGAACAGACAGACAGATAAGCACTCTTCTTTATATATAAGATCAAATTCTATGGATCCGTCTAAATTGTCCTATGACGTGAAAAGCATCCTCAAAGTTCTCCAACAGCAAGGATTAGATTTGACATCCTTCTAACAAGATGCAAGTAGAATTTTCTCAGTTTAGGAGTTTCACATATTTCTTCTTGTCTGATGTTCATGTAAATGATCGTCCGACAAAAAGATTCTGTATTCTCGCAATTCCGAATAAAATCCTCAGATCTCTCTGTTTTTCTATCAAAAGCTTTCATAGAATTAGCATTACTCTTTCTTCGAGAACCTCCTTACAGCAATCTTTAGGTGTTGTTTTTATGATCAAAAAGGTCTTGGCAAAAACTAAAAGTGACATAGATGCAAGAGTCGTTATCAAATCCTTTTTTCTCATAGGAAACTAGGAAAAGACTTCTAAATCTTTATCTGTGGAACAAGCATTCTCAAAAACGAATGTCGTATTTGTAGCGCTTGCTCCCAAGAGAGACGAGATCCCTTCGACAACGACAATTTCATTTCTTTTTCCTTCATTGTAGTAATTCCCAATATTCCAGTTGGTGCTCGATAGATAAAGAATGGGATGGCTGTTGCTGGAGGTCATGGATGGGGCCATGCCACCAATCAACTCAAATACCCTTATGGTCTCTTCGTTGATGATGATCAAACGATGGTCATTGCTGACTAAGACAATCATCGTATCATCCAATGGAAGATGGATGATACGAATGGACAAGTAGTAGCTGATGGCAATGGCCGAGGAAATCGATTGGATCAATTGAATAATCCAACTGATGTGTTGATCGACAAAGAGACGGATAGTCTCATTATTTGTGATCAAGAGAATCGACGAATCGTACGATGGTCTCGTCGTAGTGGCACAACTCAAAGAGAAATCCTCCTCGACAACACCGCTTGTCGAGGATTGGCCATGGATGATCAGAGATATCTCTACATCTCTGACACCGAAAAAAGTGAAGTAAGACGATATCAAATAGGAGACAAGAATGGAACTATCGTGGCTGGCGGCAATGGCAAAGGTGCTAGTCTCAATCAACTCAACACGCCGAGATACGTCTTTGTCGATCAACAACAGACTATCTACGTGTCAGACAGTGACAATCATCGTGTAATGAAATGGAATAAAGGTGCAAAAGAAGGAGTTGTCGTCGCTGGAGGTCAAGGCAAAGGAGATGCTCTGACACAATTGTCGTATCCTGAAGGACTATTCGTCGATACATTGGGTACCATCTATGTGGCAGACTGGGGAAATCATCGAGTGATGCGTTGGCCTAAAGGAGCGAAACAGGGCACTGTCATTGTGGGTGGAAATGGTTACAGAGAAGGAGCAAATCAGTTCGATTTCCTCAATGCCCTGTTCTTCGATCGATACGGCAATCTCTATGTTGTCGATCACTGGAATCATCGTGTTCAACGTTTTTCAATCGAATAGACTCATTACGATGGATAATTTTTTTTGCGCTCCTTTCGTTTCAAATAAATCATGTTGAATCGATGAAATGCATGTCTATTCTATTTGCGCGCGCGCGACCAGGAACCATCCTAGTGGAGCCGTGGCGAGCGTAACGCTCATGAACGTATGGGACAGACTCAAATCATTCATACCCCTCCCACTCGAGAGATATGTCAATGAGTCTTGGGGACCTGGTCGTGTGTCAGGGACACCAAGACGGTTCCTGGCCGGGCTTTTAGGGACTAGCCGGAAGTCCTTCATAGAAGACGAAACCCTAACACTCAACGGACAGATCTCACCCTCCTCAATCTGCCTCTCCCTTATTCTCATCCCAAAAAAAGAAAAAAAAATACTCACCATGTTTGACGTTGAATGGTGACGTTGTTGATGATGATGACGCGATGATATTGAGTACTAGAAAGAAAAGAAAAAAATTTTAACTAATGCTATGTAATGGAAAAGAACGAGATGATTTACTCCGCCCGTTATCTTTTTCTTCACTGTCGAACGCCTAAAATGAAAAAAAAACAATATATAAAAAAGATTATAGGAGAACTTACCACCCTCCATATGATCGTAAAGAAAGAAAAAAAATAAAAACTGATACCTACATTTTCTTTTATTGCTCGATGTTGAATTGAATAATTTGGTACCGTCGAAGTCAACCTAAAATATAAAACAAAATTATTATTATTTGATTCAAATAATTGAATGACTTCTTCGAAAAAAATCATTCATTTTTATAACCCTCAAAAATCGTTTTTCTTGGGCGAGAAAATATTCATTATTTTTTTTCCCGTTGGAAAATAATTAGATGTCGATTTTAATTAAGCTTTGATCTAGACAAACACATACATTGACATATATTCGATCACATATATCTCAATGTATATGTGTGGATAAAGCTTAATTTTTTTCACACCTTAATTGTACATGTAATTATTGATCATCAATGATAAGCTGGACGATGACTAATGGACGAGAGAAGGAAAAAAGAAATATTGCTCTCTTGGTCTATTTCTGTTTCTCTCTCTTACATGTTCAGTATGTTGTGCAGAGTTGACAAACACACACACGTGCACTCACATGTGAGGTATGTTGTCATTTTTTATGTCATTTTTCTTTTAATACATTTCTTTTGAATTAAATGAAATTTTTTTTCTTTATTTCAAGGAGTTACTACATGTTTTGTTAATTCGGTTCTGCTCGTTCAAATCAATCATTTTCTATCATCTTGTGAGGATTGTTATTTATATGAATGTATTAATGATGAACAACCAACAATTCGTACATTAACTGGAACAAAAATTATATTATCTCAACGTCAATGACCTAGTTTGATTGTGAATTGATTTGTTAATTGTGTATTTTAATATGTACTAGAAATGAAGATTAAAAAAAGAGGCCGTTCCTTTATTTATTACGTTTGTGAATCTATTCGGGTGTGGGTGTGGGCGTGACGAGAATATATCCCCATCCACACCCATACCCACACTAGAGATCTGCGGGGAACTTCGAAACCCGATTCGAGCTCCATCGGAGTCAGCAAAATGAAATTTTTTCGTAGTCGGAGTCGGGTTTACTGAAAAAGTTTTTCGGAGTCAAATCGGAGTCGAAATTATAACAACCACTAATGAACTTTTACTATTTGATATCACAATAACTTTATTTTTCATATTAACAAACAAAAAAATCGAAGGACAGTCCTCATTACATATGCTAAGAACGAATTTCATGACCAAAAAAAGGGTCACCTTTTGGCTATAACATTCGAAAGATCAACCTCATAAAAACATGATGCTATTAATCAAAAAATATTTCAGTACCATCCAAAGTACAATAATTCTCGTTGTCATCAATTATCGAGTACTTAGTAGAGTCCTGTACGAAGTCGATTTCGGAGCTGTCGTCGGAGTCGACTAAATTTTATGCTAAAAATTTCGCTTTAGCACAAAAAATTTTTTGAATTGTAGATTTTGTTCTCTGATATTTACTGTATAAACTGATGTATTTTGGAGATTCCAAAGACATGTTATCAAAACCTATGGACATGAAAGAAAGTCAGAGTTAAGTTCAACTCCGATTTCGACTTTCTTTCATGTCCATAGGTTTTGATAACATGTCTTTGGAATCTCGAAAACGCATCAGTTTATACAGTAAATGTCAGAGAATAAAACCTATAATTCAAAAAATTCCATGTGCTAAAGTGAAATTTTTAGTGTAAAATTTAGTTAACTCTGACGACGACTCCGAAATTGACTCCATGCAGAATTCTATTGCTTGGGTATAGTACATGTCGAATACTTCTTAGTTATTATTTTTTTATTTTCACTACACAACAAATGAAAAAGAAATTGAAAATTAATCTTTTAATGATTCTTTGATTTTCTTTTATTCTTTTGCTTGTTTATCGATTTATACATGTTTAAAATTAAACAATAAAATACATTAGAGGTCATCTGCTTTCGAGAAAAAAATTTCGGAGTTTATCGGAGTTTTTCGGAGTTTTACGGAGTTGGAATCGGAGTCAAAAAAATAGAAATTCTCGGAGTCGGAGTCGTAAAGAAGAAATTTTTCAGAGTCGGAGTCGGGTTTCAGAATAAAAAAACCTGACTCCGCAGGTCCCTAACCCACACCCACTTCCACACCTACATCCACCCACATCCGCACCCACTCACGCTCACACTCGTCCACACCCAATCAAAATGATCTTCTATTTGAACCGAAAACAAATGATTACAGCTTTGACAGTAGATCATAATCAATCTATTTCCTCATACTTTTCTACAATAGATAACTATTATTATGAATTATAGTTTTTTTTTGTTGGCGACCGACAATGAAAAAGTACAGAAATCTAATTATTGTTCTCCTCTTTTCCTAACTACAAACGCGAGTACAAGACCAAGATCTTCTAGTCCGTCCATCGTTTGCAGAGTAGTACTTTCCACTTGCCATTTGCCATCTGTAACTTCATCCCACATACGTATAAAGCTTTCTGGAGAATGCCACATCATAGTGCCTTTAAATGATAAAGGCTTTGGAACTTCTGTTGGTATCAACGCACCGGTCTTCCATCCAATGATAGCATGTTTGCATAGGCGAGTGAGACGTCGACACACGTCTCTTTGTGTCTCGGCATCAAAGATATGGAAGAATGCGCCAACATTAACATAATCAGCAGGTTCTATTGCATCCAGAAATCGATCATCAAATATGTCTCCTGAATTAAATACTTTATTTTGTTTCATTATTTCTCCATCACGAAATAGTTCATAACCTTGCTCAATGAAGAAAGGATCGAGATCGTAGCCACGTATTCGATCAATAGGTACTCCGTCGTAGACAAGTTGTCGTACATCTTGACCAAGACAACATGCGAAATCAATCACCGTTGCGCCTTCGCTTTTACATTTTTCAATAATTTCTTTGTAAATAGGATTGTTTTGAATGGAAAACTGAAGAAAAACCCAACGACCGAGACATGGATAATTGCATTTTTGCCAAGCACGGTCACGCACGGTCAATAAGTGATCACGCAATGTCGTGATCGAAATTGAAGCATAATTGGCAAAGAAAGTTTCGATATAGTTATTAATTGGCGGTTCATTGACATAATATGATGCTGGTTTGGTGACAGATTCATGTTCAGACATCTTCAAAAAGATTTATTAAACCAATACTTCAGTTTATTTCCTCAAAGAAAAAGAACACATATAATTAAATAACTCACCTTTACTGGGGAATTTATCTTTTTTTTTTAAAAAGAATCCGTTTGTGAGGCCGAAGTAGCGATAAAAAAAAACATTCACATGGTGCAGAAAAATAAAAGAAAGAAAAAGAAATATATGTAGGTATACTCTCACATGTAAAGAACAGAAGAAAAAGGGACATAAGGTGGTTACAAGCACACACTGCGAAGAAACAATAAGAAGAAACGACAAACAGTCGCTCACATTTTTTCTGCATAATATAGTTACAGTTATCCATTTAAAAAGAAAAGAGTGTGAATATTTCTTGAGTAATATTTCATAGAAAAAAATACAACGAGTCACAGTTTTCATCGTTCAAAAGAATTTATGTTTCTACATAATCGCATGTGATATTCATTATTGAGCTAATCCATAGGACCTCAACCAAAAAAAAACACAAGGTCTCTGAAATCGGCCCATTTGTCGTGTATCTTGTAGACCTCAATGAGTTATAACTGCAGTAAAAATAAAATTAGGGTTCTTCATTGTTCCATTGTTGAGATATACAAGTCACACGTTTGGCTTGGAGTTCATGCAATTGATGATAACCTAAAATGTTCCAAATCTTTTGGTCCATATATTTTTTACTCATATTCACCGAAGACCCATTCTAACAACATAATTATTTTTGTTGCCTATGGTCTAGCATATCTGTACATATATCACTTTCGATAATTTATTCACGATGGAAAGATATTTCCTGGGAGTCATTAGGTAGACATTGTAAAAATATGACCCAAAATTTGTACATTAAAAATTCTCTTAGACCGAATTCTTCGGTTGAGTGAAGATTGCTTTACAAAATCCTATACTTGAAATTTTATTCCATCCTGGAATAGTCCAGATATCATGATAAACCTTTAAAAACGAGGAGTTCATGTAGCGATACCAAGAACGAGTAATAGGACCATAGTTGGGTGTGGGTGTGTTTCACATCTTCAGCAGCACTCACACTCGCACCTACATCCACACCCACCCTTACATCCTCTTATTCTACTAGAATGTCCAAGCTGAGTTCTAGTAGTTAGCGATTCCCGGAAAAATTTTACGGGAGTTCCCAGAAAATCCCTAAAAGCTTCTGCAGACCTAAAGGAGAGCTAAAAAGGTTGTCTAACTGGAACGAATTGTTCCAGAAAAGCTTTTATTTTTCAAGAAGATTTACCATCTAAACCGTTCAGTAGGTTTCACCATAGTGGATGATTCTCGAAAATTAAATGCCAATTCATCTCAAAACAATGAGTTGTCGGTCGAAAGAGCGTCGGTACAGGCTCCAATGATATCATTTCGAAAGAGCCAATATTAAAAATAAATAATTATCTCTTCTGAATTTTGAGTTTCTTATATAATTTAATAGGCGCAAAAGAAAACGATGAATACATCCTCTCACTCTCTTCTACATCTTCCAGGGATTCCCTATATACTTTTTACGGAATACTCAGATGAATCCCAGACAACTTTTGCATTTAAGAGAGTCACGGGTTATTTAAAAAGGTGAAAATCGATTAGGGAGTGCTCTTCCTATACATGCGTCACCTTCCGTAAAATAATACATCATGCGCTATTCTGTTTCTATGTAAAATTTATTTGCAGCAAAATAAAGCGATGAAGAGAAAAAGACCTTCAAGTATCATCAACGAAAAATAAAATGTGTGCGACAACATGTATGTAATTTTGTTGCCTTGAATATTTTTTTTACCTGCCCGTCGTGATATCACATTAAAAATAACCAAAGATAAAACAAGTGACTCGAACTATAACAACGACTGAAAACAAATAGAAACATTTAGAAAAAAAAAAGAATCTCAAGGTATCGTATAAATTCATGTCATTTGATGGTCTCTTTTACATTAGCATATAGTCGCACATACTAGAAGCAGTATTACAAAGTCAACGATAAAAATAAATGCACTAGAAGCTACCGTTATTACATCATGTGAAAAAAAAGAGCATAAAGTCAGAATACCGTACTCAGATTCATACAGTTTAGAATTTGTACTAGTTAGTATGGGTTAACCTCAACATCGATTTAGAAGCATGTAATTACATGTTGATCTTTCGTTTATTCAATTTCCAATTTTCATCGTTACTCAGAGTATGTGCATGTGCATTTCGTGATGACATGATAGAAAAATACAGAAGTAGAAGGTAAGTTATTTTGAATGGCGTTCTCATGATATAATTGGCAACATAAATATATTCTTATCGAGTCTATATCAACTTGACGAAAGTTGTTTATTTAACGTAGTATCATTATGAAATTCTATACAATTAGCATAACTCTTGCTTCTAATTTTTATTTTGTCATCAATACGATGATTTCTAGAGTATTTCAATTTCAATCTCTGTATCGTATATAGATTTTCTGTGATTCTTCATTGACACGTAATAAATATTTGAAAGAGAATAAAATAGATAATGAAATTCATGTTCATGAATTGAATTTAAGTACATTTTCGTTTTCGTCTACCATTTTTTTGTTGCTTCAGGTTGTTGTAAAAGTCCAACACGTTGTTTAAAATATTGAAAGTCTAGCTATGAGACAATTTTCAAAAGCAGATTAGAGAAATCTAATCAATGCT